TGGTGGGAATGCCCAGGTTCATCGCCTGAGGTGGGGAGTTTTCAAACTGAATGATGTAAGGCTGTAGATCACAGGACACTTCAGGTGTCTTTTATGATCCATGACACCTCCCAAGATGCCACAGCTGCCTCCTCCATCAGCACAGTTGGGTCAATTATGGCCCATCAGAAGGGGTGAATACCTTCAGACAATGTGTGAATGTCCCAGTACTTTCTCAGAGGGGAGTTTCCATGCCTGAGCCATTGTGAAAAGGGCATAGACATGATAGAAAGCACTAGCCCACAGGCAAATTGGCAAGATTTGCATCTTACCAGCCTCCTTCCTTACCTTTTTCAACACCCAGCTGTAACCTTCAGTGATGAGTGTGTGCCATCTGCACCTGGGGGGCAAGTGGGCAATTGTTTGAGTCATTAACCAGTCCAGTCTCTCACACTCCTGATTAAAAGATGCTGCTGCTGCTAGTATTATTATTATTATTATTATTATTATTATTATTATTATTATTATTATTATTATTATCGCTATCATTATTGTTATTATTAGTATTATGACGACTGTATGAAACAGTTTGTGTCATTTATACTTTCCCTAGGATAAAGTTAGGCTGTTCAGGGACACTGGATGCCCCATACCTGGCAGTGTTCAAGGCCAGGCTGAATGGGGCTCTGAGCAACTTGCTCTAGTGGACAGTTCCCCTGCCTGTGGCAGGTTGAAACTAGATGGCCTTTAAACATCTCTTCCAACCTAAACAATTACCTGAAGTTACCTAAATTGCCTAAACTATGGAAAGTATGACCTTGAAAATAAATTACTTTATCCTCTGCACTTCAATGACTTAAAGCACAAACATCTTTGAAGGAGTTTGTTCAATACTGAAGAAGATGAAGACAACTAAATAGTTGAAAAAATTATATACCTCTAGAGCGAGACTTAATTGCATGTCTAGAGCTCATTCTATGACTAAAATTAAAGGATGACTAAACCAAAGAGATGAGTCTTATGGCAAGGTAAACTAGAACATAGAAGACAGCTGAGATTAAATACTTGTAGGATAGAAATAGGCAGGAGGTGAAGACTGCATGCAAATCTGGTTTGGTTATTGGAAGAACATGTATTCAGACTTCATCAGAAATGGTCAAGAATTTTGTTACTAATGAACAAGAATGGCAAAGAATAAAGAATATTTGTGGGAAAACTGAGGTGTTGACAACCTAGAAGATACCACGTACTTTTCTGTCCTCTTAGGAGCAAGATTATTCCTACATATGTTACCTGAAATGTCTTAAATAATGATGCAACAGTTAAACTTCACCAGCTTTGTGTTTTGATATATTTTGAGGAAGGCTTTTGGTAATGAAGCAATTTTCAAGCAGTGAAAACATGCTGCTGAAGTAAAAATAAAATAGGCAAAAAAAGAAAATAATATTGTATAACTAACTGTGTGAACAGGTAAGAGGACAAAGAAACATGATATAGAGAAAAAAGTATTTCTGGCCTCCTGAATACCATTACTGATGTATTAAAATCATTATTTTTAAAAAAGTTACTTAAAAGTAACATTCAGAGTAAGACTTTATAGTATTTGTCTATTTGAGAAATTTAGAAAAAAGTTGATAAATATATATTCTCTTGTTTTATTTGAAGAAAGACCAAGACAGTGTGATTTTATGAATGTTATGTAATATTCTGGAACAAAACTGGAGTGATTTCAATTCTAGAGATAACATCAATCTCATGTGTTAAAATCTCTGATATTGAAATCTTTTACCTGTTTTTTACAGTATAAAATAAAATACCCAGTGTCACAGGAAAAAGTCTGTTATTTATGAAATGGGCTTGACATTGAGGGTGTGCAATTTGTCAGTGGAGTAGGAGTACAAGAAAGGGTGTTAGAGTTCCCTTAGAGTGAAAATTTCTTTGTGGTAGGAATATTTTTGGAGGAGGTAAATATCATATTCTTAAGTGTTTAGGATTCATTATTTGGATCAAATTGTAAAGAGTGCCAAGATAAGGAATGCTTCAGATTTGTCCCCTGAGAGTTTGTTGTCCACTGCTTAGTAAAGCCTCTGGTTCTGATACATGAGAGTCTTAACAATTCTGAAATGTTGGTCAACCATATGCTAAATTGCTGCATATTACCTAAATTTTTCACACTACTTTTTACCTGTGAGTATCTGTAGAAAGAAATAGGAAAGCAAAAAATGGAGGAAAAAAATAGCAAGAGGTTATACACTAGATTCTCCAGAAACATCTGCCTCTGGGAGTAGGCAAGTTTTAGAAAAAATATTGGGCAGTGGGCAGAATCCTAAGTGATTTGTTGCCAGGATTATAAGTCAGTAAATTCTATTTCTTTGCTGTTTCAGGTAGAGTAACTTATACAAAAGTGACATGCTGTAGAAGTGAAAAAATAGCTCTGATCTACATTATTTAATGAACACAATTTTGAACATTTCCTTTTTTGAAAAATTTTAAATGGAGTCTAAAGTTTAGTTAATATTTTGCCACAAACCAAATTAATGTTTTCTGCACAAAAATCTCTGTTAAGGAAAACATATTGATATTCCAGCACAGTTAGTTTATTACTATGACTTTTTTAGAGCAACAAAGTATTTCAATTTATTATTAGTAGCATTGCCATTTATTATTGCAGTGAATTTGTTAAACACAAAACATTGCTATAGACCAGATTGCTGATTGTGGAATTATGAAGCAAAGATATAAAAAAAAAATAGTTAAGGTACTAAATTGCTTTATTTTGCATTTCTGTATAGTTCAATCCCATGTTTTATTTGAGTTAAAGGGTATTTTACAAATTAATTGATAAAGCCAAGACATATAGTTTTCTCATGGATTTTGTCTGTGTCATATTATATGAGAATAAAACTCATTATCTGTTTTGTTTGTACAGTAATTATATTTCGTTGTCCTGTGCATTCCTTTTGCTCGCTCCATCTCATAATACATGCTGTAAAAGCACACATAAATAAATAGGATAAACAAATTAAGCTGTTTAAATAAATTAATTTACTCTGCAGCTCTGTATTCAAATCTTATATGCTCACTGGATTTCATTTTAATGAAACCCTTCTAAGAACAATACATTGTATGCCAAACAGTGAAATTATATTTTAAATGAATGATTAAATATACCGTGTTCTAATTTATATCAAATCTGTACACTGTGCATGCTTAAATCCTCCTAAATCTAAAGAAATAAATCTTCTGCATTCTGAAAACATCTGCATTATAATCCTCCTCTTGAATACCCAGTTCATGGACATATAAACACAATCAAAGTCATAATAAGCCTAGAGCTATGATGCAGTTAAGCTATCCTCATCAATGTTTTTGACTTAAAAACCTAAGACTATTAAAGTGGAATCTACTTAAATGTCTTGAAATGTTGTTCTAAAAAATCTCCTCCCACTCTATCAGTATGCCCACTGAATCCCTTTGCAATCAGAATCTCAAGTTCAGCAGATGCTTTTTAATGAAACTTACCTGGAACAAATCTATTGATTAATATAGTTGGGGATGTTGCAAAATTTCTTAGGAATGCATTCAGAGAAATAAGTATTTATCTAGTGACTGTGCATAATAACATAATGATTGCTCCAAAATAACTTTGCTGTGTGAGGAATGTACTGGTTTTTTCAAGAAGATATATTTGCAACAGCAGGTTTTATTTTGTGTTATTAAACACGTACTAATTGTAATGTTTCGTTACCAAAAGCTTTTAGTGAGTTGAATGTGTGCAGTTGTTTGTTGATTGGTGGTTTAGGCTCATTGTTTTTTTCATAATAAGTTAGGTTTTCAGTTATCAAAAGGAAAAAAACAAGCAAAAAAAACACTCTAGTTTAACATCTTCAATCCTTCCAATAGATTTCCCTTATAGGATTTATTTATTTTTATCCCTATTTGCTCAAAACAACCTCACTCTCACATATTTTAGCAATGACTCTTGAGAACATTCAGCAGTAAAAAGGAAACGGCAGGGAAAGACAGCAAATTTTCTAGAAAGAACTATTCTGCACTTATCTCCCTTTGATTATTGTTACTGTTGAACTTCTGGGTAAATATCAGATATACCTATCTGCTATATACTAGCAATACTCCCACAGCAGATGTGCAATTCAAACTGTCACAATCCTCTCATTCTGGTTTTCAAAACCAAGTTTTGGAGTGTGTCATAGCTTCTCTTGTCTACCCTGCCAGGCCTTTCCCTGGATAGAAAAACATGAATGGTGGTTTTCCCCATTTTGCTGGTTTTCGCCATTTTGAAGTGACATGGCCACATTCATCCAAAAAGTGTGAATCATTCCAGGTTTGCGTTCCATGGTAAAAATAGGCATTTGGATTTCCATCAGTCATGTTACTGGTACTGGTACAGTAAGGAGGTTATAGTTTCTTTATGATCCTTTGCAGCTCCATAAGATCTCATTGCTCAAGAAGGCTCTTTGAAATTAAGATGTGGAGTAAAAGTCGACGTGATAACTGAGATAAAACAGCAGTACCTGGTCTTTATTTATTTACAGAAATACATAATTCCTCATCTTGTAAGGCTGACATCTGTATGCCAAAATGTATGCTTCCAATTCAACTGCATGATGATATGAGTAAAGAAAATGAAAAATAAAACAGACCAAAACCACAACAAACAACAATAACAAAAAAAACCCCAACCAACCAACCAAAAACCAAACAGAAACCAAAATAAAAACCCCAAAGCAGAACAAACCTCTTCTTTTTTAAGTAGTCCAGAAGGCAGTAAAAAGCCTAATAGGGTGGGCTGTGCTCATATTGCATGCTTAAATGTAAGGTCTAGTGTCCTCAAGTTTCCAAGTTTCCTTTGAGAATGCTCTGCAAACCCTGGAAACCTCAAAAGGGGAATGAATAGGTTGTCATTTGGAAGGGAGATTCAGTTTAGGGAAGTGATGTTTGGAAACAGAGGCTCGGTTTTACTTTGCTGTTTTTTCACAATGACTTTTTGTGTGGTCTAGGAACGTGTTCCAGACAGCCCTTCTCCTGCTCCTTCTCTTGAAGAGGGCCGAAGACCTGGCAGCCATCCATCCTCTCATCGAAGCAGCAGCGTGTCCAGCTCGCCTGCACGGACCGAGAGCTCTTCAGACAGAATCCGTAGGTCCCATTCTTCTCCTTCTCACCACTTTAAATTTGATTAGGTGCAGCTTGTTTTTCTAATCAAAATTCCCTCGCCTTAAATAGATCTCATATGTATCATGTTCAGAAGTTCAGCTGCAATAACTATCTCCCAACATTATGTTCCCCAGTTTACAGTATCATAATATCTGATGCTACATTAACAGGTAGTGATATAAACTGCCATCATGTCATATTAAACATAAAGATATGAGCAATGAAATACAGAAATTGCAGGCAAGAAGCAATTTGCTAGATTAGTTTTAGAACTGAACATATAGTGTAAACATTTTTAAAAGAAATTGAATTTTATTTAATCTGGTTACTCTGTTTTGATTTCTAAATTGAATTTGACTTCATAAGCAATATTTTACATGGTAGAATTGCTTGGTAAAGAGAAGAATTGGGTTAAATAAATTAAAAATGTGCATAGTTTAGAAAATTTTAAATATAAAATTTTGTAATGGTGAGAAATATGATAGAAAGAATATTATCACCTCATAGCTCCCAGGGGACAGAGTGAAATTAAACTGTGGTGTCCCAGAGTGATGCCATTTTTATCACAGTTCCATATACAGAATATGGCAAAGACTCTGAATTCTGTGATATTCAGCAATTCTGTGATGTGCAGCAATGGACACTAAGGTTCTAAATGCATACTATTTTATTGATATGTACTTAAATTCATATTACACTTGTCCATTCCCTTTAATACTGCTCTGTTGCAGGTCTTTGTGCATTTCAATCATCCTTCCACAGTGGAATTTGTCAGTAGGTGAAATGGGAGGGTTTGGCACACACGTAGAGGGCCGTGAAGGAGCTGTATGAAATAGGTGGCCGTATTGATTAGATGCAACACGTGTCCTTTAGTCTGCTTCCCTTCAGGGTCTCGTCAGATGCAGGAAGCTGACTCTTCATTGACCTTCAGATGAGAGATCTTTCATTAGTGTGTGATGAAAAATGACTTACCAAAGAAAAGAAATGAGGCCTGACTATGACAAGCTGAAAATTCTGTTTTCTTATCACTTGGACAATTCAGAGAGCAGATTAAATTGGCATCCCATATACTGTGACCTATCTATTTCCCCAGGCTTGACCCACAAGCCTTTCATTATATTTTCTTTCCATTGTCCAGTTGAGGAGAGGGAGTGATGGAGTGGCTTAGGAGGGCATGTAATTTCCAGCCAAGATCAGCCCACTGCAGGCTTCATAAGTGAAGTTCTGAAAGAAACCCTCAGAAATGTAGATTTAAATGCTTTTTCTTAATTGATTGAATAGTATATTTGTTTACAACTAATGAAGACCTTTTCCACTGTTCTCTTAAAAAAACCACAAAAAACTAGCAAAACAAACCCCAAAAATCTAAATCGAGAGATATTTAATGTTTTTGCTCAGGAATTACCCTTTTTTTAACAAAAAAAGAAATTGTACTGTTCAGCTTACTTTATAATTTACAGAGAGGAGTGGGACCTTTGCACATTTTTTCCTTCCATGTGAACATACATAACGGAGTTCCTTAAGCAGTGGATCACTTCAGTAACTTATTTATTTATAAGATAATTATTTTTGGACCTATCTGATTTGTTAACATCACACCTGATTCTTAAGTACATTGTTTGTGGTGCCAGCCAGATTAAGATGACTACTACAGGAATATGGGTTCCATATGTTTTTTAAAAAATAAAATACTCAAAATGTCATAAATCTCTTGAAAATACAATTTTTTCAGGATTAAAGCATAGAAATTTAAACTACCTGAGTTTCTGAGGTATGTTTGAGACTCATTGTTGGAAAGAGCTTTCCAGCCTGTCTGATGAGCAAATAAGCAATCCTACTGTTGCACAGAATATATGGAAAAGTGGTTTATATCATCTGAAAGGCCACAATGCTTCATTTAAGGAAGTTATTAGGGTCTGCATATTGAGAATATTTGTACTCAAGAATTTTTGTACAATGAACTAAAATTCTAACAGTTTTTATTAAATAAGCAAGAACATACTTGCAACTTTATCCAACTTTAAATATTTCCAACTTTATCCAAAGTTACTGAACTTTCTTTTTAAAATTGTTTTAAACTAGAAGTAACAGGAAAAAACTTTTCCTCTATGTGGATCCTGATAGCACTAATTAAATAACTTTATGATTGTTAGCAGTCTTGTATAATTAAGAGGAAAACCATGTAAAATAAATAAAAAAGAGTATTGTTAATATGATTTCTTTCTGCCTGTGCTTGTGCCTAGCAGCTGTCCATCAGAATGGGCTATCTATGAACCAAATGCTGATGGGTTTGTCACCTAATGTCCTGCCTGGACCTAAGGAGGGTGATCTGGCTGGTCATGATGTGGGACATGAGACAAAAAGAATACACATTGAGAAAGGTAATATGAATATTATAATTCTACTTCTTCAGTGTAAAACAAGTTTTGTCTTGGTAGCTAATTATTATACTTGCAATTTTTAATTTTTTAATTGGGATTTTTGTTTTGTTGATTTATTTTATTTCAATTTCACAAACCAAATTGTAACAGGATGTTAACTTTCTTTAGTGTTGTATTTTGTAATCTCCAAGATTAATGAATATATATATATATATATATAACGGAGAAATTTCATAAATTTTGCAAAGTAGGATGAGTGAAAAACTGTTTTACATTATTATTACGATTCTGACCCTTCTGCAAGACTGTTTAGGTATTAAGTTTCTGTCTTTGTCCAGTTGACTTTAATGACCTACTTCCCAGAGGGACTGAGCACCGTGAAAATTAGTCCATGTGTGCAAAAAGGAAAAAGGCTAATACCAAGCCATTAAATTAGGGAATTGCATAAAATGAGGCTGGTATACATTATATAATGGGATTTAAATTTAATTGAGTATATGACCAAAGTGTTTGATCTAGGTGAATAGTCCACATGCACTTATGCTGATTATGACACCATTTCATCTCTGCTGGTATTCAAAGTCAAGTTCCTGTTCAGGGCTCTTACAGGGGATTTTGATGGTATGGTGGTGGAATTTTGAAAGGTGCATTTTATGTTTTATTTGCTTAATATATTTTAAGTCTTATAGACTGGAAACATTTTGTTTAAAGAGAGGCTTAAAATGCAATGCATGATTTGAAAAAAAAAAATTTAAGCTTATCAGAAAAATCAGTTCTTAGAGCACAACAAGAGAAAAAGTAAAAGGTATAATAACCAGACATTGAAACAGAGCTGGAGAAGCTGCTGTTGCTATGAAGATTTCATAATAAGACATTTTGTGACAATTTTAGTAGCTATAAGATGATACCTCCTCTGTCTTGTGTTTGAACACTGAGATATGAAAAAGAATTAAAACCTGGACAATTCTATTCTGGACAGGTGGTGTTTTTAATAAGATTACCAGAAAAATTAATGAAAACAACATTTCTTTTATATAAACCATTTAGTTTGGTTCATTGCACACACAACCTGTTTTTGCTTACACTATGCCCTCACCCAGACTGTGCAAATTGTATCCCTGCTGTGAAGTATGATATGATCAAATAGGTTTGTTTTGAATTTCCATAAATGATTTTATTTCAGCCTTTGAAGTTACTTGTTTAACTGTAATCCAACTGGAAAGTTCTGCAGAGAAGTACATATTAAGAATGGCAACTACTTTTGCATGTCATTCAGGTTTCTTTAAGTTTTTTCTTTAAAATTATGATATCCTAAATGTATTTTGCCAGGTTTTGCAAGATCTGTTCTCAGTAAAACTGCTGAGAATTCTCTTTTTTTCTCAGTCCTTGTTTAGGTCAAACCTACTTTTTCTTTTTTTCTTTTTTTTTTTTTTTTTTTATTCTTTTTCCTCTGCTCTGTTCCAGCCTACTGAATTAATGGTAAATATTCATGGGCTATCTAGATTGATAGGGGTTACTAAATTAAAAATTGTTTTCTGTCATGACTACATTTATCATGTCTCTCATATCAATCTTGTACCTTTAGTACTAATCCAATCTGTATTAAAACAAGTGATTTGACTTACAGATATTTGTGGAGATAGTAATTATCTAGTTTTGTCACTGTGAGCTTGCAATCAGGTTTTGAAACTATTTTACCCCTGCAAATCAGTCAGACTGTGACCATATTTAAAAATGCAAACACACACATGTAGGTGGTGGCGCTTTTATTGTTGAAACTCCATCAACTTCATCAGAGGAAGGGAGGGAGGAAGGAAAAGGAAAGGAATCAAAAGTTCTAAGTAAGTATCATGAATTTAAAAATGGATGTTTTTTTAACCAATCAAATTAATTTCATTGGTAGAAATTTACTAGCTGCAACTAAAATGTCTTTTAATCAAACCTGGGAACCTAGAAAATCCTAAGTAAAAAAGTAATAAAGAAGAACCTGTCTTTTCTCTTCTTATCTCCTCTTCCATTAAAGAAAATGAAAAGATGAAAAAAATCTCTGAAGTGATCTGAGATCAGGGAAAATTTATTTACCGCCAATATATAATTTAAAGAGGTAACAAAGTTGTAACAGAGGCAACTGATCAACATACTTAGGTATTGTATTTGTATACAAATTCTGAATGTGAGAGGAGTGAATCATTTATTTGACCTGATCTATGAGCTGGATAGAGGAGAGAAAATGCCACTTACCTGTTAGAAACAGTACAAAGGAGCTAATTTACCCAGTCCACGCAACATGGTGTAATATGATTAGAAACACTTCATTGGCATTGGCAGACTGAATAAGTCTTTCAAAGATCATATGTATTTCTATTCAAAATTCAGCAAGAATTAGTATTAATGGCAAAAAATAGTTTATTTTATTAGAGTGGTTTAAGCTACCAGTAAAGCTCTTGTGCAGTTTTGTGATTTTTTATTTGATTTGTTTGGTTGTTTTTGATTTTTTGTTTGTTTGGGATTTTGGTTGTTTTTGTGGATTTTTTTGTTTATTTTTTTTTCCTTTAGACTGTCTTAAAAATCTACTTTCAGGTTCTGGTATGAGGAATTTTGAGTGACCTTACCTTCCATGGAGTCCAGTTATTATTATGATACCAACAATCAAATGAGGTTCTGTGGATCTGTCTGTTAAAGCTAGAAAGTTCACATCAGGCTCTGGGTCATTATTTGTTGCAGGAAAACTGGAAGAGATGTTGCCAATGGCCATGTGTAAAACATGGATGTTGGGGTCATTTTACAGCTGCTTAATCCATGTGTGCAGCTTTGCTGCATCCTAGCTTCATGTTGGGTCAAGACCCAATGTACACATCTGAAGTTCCACTCATTGCCTGAGTTCCCTAAGAAGGAAACTTAGGTTTGCTATGGGTATGTTGTGGTCCAGCCGAGTTCCCAGTCTGGACTAGGAAGGACTGCAGGAGATACTGCAGAGCACTTGAGCCTCACAGTTCATACATTACTCAAGATGTCATCATCTGTATCACAGGAAGTGAATTATCCTAGATTTTCAAAGGATTTTTGCTTTTTAGAAGATAACAGCTTTTTCAATTTTACTGAAAGCAGGCTGTAGAAATGCAAATGGTCCTGGGAAAAATGAGGTAAGTTCAAGTACACAATGTCAGTTCAAGTGCTTGACAGCCAAAATCAAGTATCTGATTCTGTAATCTGTAATTATGGATTATGTGATGGTGGACATTGGGTTTATTAGGTCAGATTCAATAAGGAGGACTTACGTGACATATGGGAGTCGTATTAGTAAAGATCCATTCAGTTTTCTATGTCAAGAGACTGTAAGTCTTTTCAAGTTTCTGTGGCACAAAGTTTGCACTAGATAGTTCCTCAGTTTTGATGAGGTATATTTCATCACTTTTCCTGTGCAGCTTATATGATATCCTGCAGGCCTCCCAGTCCGAAGCTGTGAGAAGCAGATTTTTGGTGTTTTTTATGGAGCTGAATACCGTTCAGTATTATCTGCTAAGCATGGATATAGCCTAGGAAGGAGGAACTAACGGAGAGCATAAAGACTAGACTGATGAATCCTGATCCTCTTTTTGCTTATTGATCTGAAGTGTTTCAAAAAAAGAAAGTTCAAAATAACCAATGGCTTAAAAGTCACATACACCCTCCTTGGAGATGTGGAGCCTAATTCTCTCCAGGCAAAAGAGAGAATTGAACTTGTGACGTATTTCCTGAGCAGTATCCTTAATCACTGTGTTTTTTGTAAAAAGGGGGAGTATATTTTAACATCCCTTTACCCTTACAACCTGGACTCAGGTGGTTTTGGATCTGCAAGGTATTATTTATAGCTCAGTCCTACTGACAGTATTTCTGTACTTACTAGCTCCAGGTAGCTGCATACAAGTTTTTGGGGTGATATTGGAGGCAGTGGCTGCTCATACCATCATCACCACTGGAAAGTTGGTTGCTTTAACACCAAATTTAGATGCTTAAGTGTTTTATTGGATCTGGCCTTAGGGCATCAGATTAGAATTTTCTGTCTTTATCAATTTATATTTTTTTAGCTAGACACCAACAGCAAATGAAGCCTGAATGTCATGCTTATATTTTCAATTGAATATGTTATTTGAGGTGTGGGAAGGACACTCTCTTGCTGAAAATATGAATGCTGTTTCCTATAGCAAAATATAAAATATTCACCATGTTCACAAAAGTTAAAGCATTTCTTTCAGAAGAGATTTAAACTATGATATTAATGAAAATTCCACAAGTAATTTTCAGATAATCAACAGCAACTGCTTCTTGACAGCAGCAGTTAAGGTATAACTTTATCAAATCCACATATTAAAAAGTCCCAGGTTTTGTCTTTCATTTTATTTTATGTACCCCTCTAGAGGCAAGATCAGTCTTAGACCTTTGGCTAATATCTTATAAAAGAGAATCATAAAATTTCAAAGTATCCTCAGTAAAAAATGGAAAATAATTTAAATATTCTGAAGTTAGAATTGGATTTTCTTGTTAACATTCATGCATCAAAAAGGAAACTAATGATAAGTATGTCATCCTATACAGCTATTCATTCTGCATTATCAGCAGTAAATCTTCTTAAAATGTATGCACAATGTAAATATAACATGCTTATTCACCTTGACAAATATAGAAATACATATGAATATGTTTCTATAAATATGAAAGACTCAAAGGAAGTTTTAGCATCAACAAAATTCTCTTCAACCTGAGCTGTTCTCTAGCAAAGTCAGCAAACAAGTGATCCAGACCTTTGGTTAAATTGTGTTTCTGGTCTGTTAGGATTTTAGTTTGTTCTCTGAGAAAGCCCTTTTTTAAGGAGAGTACTTAGCAGTTGATGTAGAGAGTAGTGTTCATTGGCAGTTCTGCTGCCCAGCTGCTTGTGTAAACATATTTTATCTGTTCATTTTTGTATGAATACATACACACAGAGAGATACTTACACAATGTACTTATTTTACTGAATATTG